GGGGATTTAGGGTTTCAACCCACAGCGCGGACTCGTCGAGTCCGCCCTTTCCGACTCGTCGACTCCGTTCATTAATCCAGTCAGCATTCGCGGTCCTACTCGACGAGTCCACGACCCAACTCGTCGAGTCCCTCTCTTTTACTCAAAATAAATGATCAAACATAATACCTGGAAATCCGGATGTTACAATTATTTTTGATCTTTATTGCATGGTCGATCAAAAATAGGGGGAGAATCATGAGCATCCATTCTGGTTTATTATTGGAGTTTTGACGTTAGAGACATTTGAAGACGAAGATTCATTTTGTAGTGTGATGTGGCACTGATTTTTGGTCTTCACAGATCGAATTTTTGGCATTACTAGATGTTCTTCGGATTACGATTATTTATCTTCAGACTCTACATTTGGGATGTCTCTCTTGTGTTTGCATCTGGTTCAGATATTATGATTGTTCGAGTTTGGATTTGCGATATTTTGAAGACGGTGATTATTTTAGCGATGCGGCGTGAAACTTATTTTTGATCTCACGATCAAATTTTTGGCATTGCTAGACTATGTCTGCGGATTCATATTATTTATCATTCAGACTTTATTTTTAGATGCTTCACATTTTCAGCAGGTTATTCTTTAGAGATTATTTGGTGCATTATCATTCGATTTCAGAATATTGAAGACGTTGTGTGATTCGAGATTGTGCTATTCGGTTCTACAGTTGAGGGGGAGACTGTGAATATGATTAGTTGTTGGGGACTGATCACATTCGAAGATTGGGATTTCATACTTTTATTCAGAGATTGGGGTTTCTCTGTTTGTTCGTTGATGCTAGAGATTCCATTGCCAGATTCCGAGATCACGACAACTTCAGCACTTCCGAGAAACTTCAGCACCAGACCTACCGGACCTGCCTGTCGGATGTTCTGCCTTTTATCACTGCTTTACCCTCACCATTTCCGAGCATTTAGGGGGAGTTTTTTGGAGCATGAAAATGCTCTACAATGTTGAGTATTTATTAGGTTAGAATATTCCCTTGTATGAAAAGCATATTCCCTCCACTAGTATATAAAGTGGAGGTGATGGTCTTTTTTATTAAGAGTGTTCACTATGTAGACATTTAGTTTAGAGAGAGAGTGTGGTGGGATCTCTCCCACCATGGGAGAGTTATCTCTCCCAACCCATGAGTGTTCTTGTAATATTTTATACCTCTCTATTTATCTACTACAGTTTTTACTCACATATCTTGTTCATCATGTTCATACACGATTATCTTCTTGGTAATATCTTCTGCACCGATCCAATCGACAAAATAGGAACCTACACTCCCTCTCCAGTCACAGTCATTGCATCTGTATCCCTATATCCCCTACACCACCGCCATCACTCACCATGTTGATCAAAAGCCTTTCGTACTTTCTTATTTCCATTTGTTTGTTTTTGATTTTGGAATCAATTTAAGTTAATGTTTGATTTGCTGGGTTTTTTAGGAGTAATTTCTCTAGTTCGATTTTAGGGTTTTCTTATCTGAAATGAAGGTTCCATTTCAGATTTCTTCTTAATTATCTATCTGCAAGTGTCTTCGGGTTTCATTATTTTATTATTTTTTATATTTCATTACATACAGGTGTAGAAGGTGATTTTTTCCTGGGGACATGTATTATTCAGAAAATTTTAACCAGGTAAAACCTTTTGTACCCTTTCCCTATTCAGGTCTGTGTTTTGGGTCTCTCAATTTATACCATCATGATATTTGATTTCTTACTCTCAATTGGCGTAATTTACCCTGATTAAACTCAATGTTTTAAAACCCGGGTCGACCCGGCCGGTTCAACTGGTTGGACCGTGACCCGGGGTGGAAGACGGGTCAATTGAGAACGGTTTTTTGTAAAAATGTGGACCGGATCGAACCGACAGGGTTTCCCCTAACCCGCGGTCGAACCGTTTATGTCGAACCGGTTAAAACCGGATTGACCCGTTTTGATATGGCTTGGATCGATTAATTGATGTTTTCTTCTCCTATCGACTGTAAGGTGATGGTTTTGGTTAGTTTACTGATTATTCATTGTTAATTGATCACTGTTTCAAGGTTTCTGATTGTGTAGATTATGTAATTAGGATCCAATTAACATATGTTTATTGATTATAACATTGCTTTTCAATGCATTTAAATATGGAATCAAGGGAAGAAGAACGATTACAAGCACAATATATAACATGTTTTGATAATTTTTTCAATGTTTAAACTTTGAAGACATCAAATTATTGGTTTTATATGTCTATGCATTATACAGGAAAGTAAAAATATATGAAAATAGAAAAAGACCATAAACCGGGTTGACCCGACGGTTCAACCGGTTGAACCGGTTGCCCCGCGAACCGGTCATCACACCGGGTCAACTAAAAACCCGGGTTTTAAAACATTGATTAAACTGGTAAAAAGAGTATTGTACGTTGTTTTTTCGGGCAAATTACCCTTATTAAATTGATATGTTAGAAGTCATTTTGTTTATCAATTTGATTAGTTGTATGTATTACTTTGATGACAATTAGCAAAGAACTTGACAATGTGAACTAACCATAAATGTATGTTACTTTCAATACTTAATTTGATAATGATATATTTCTTTTTTGGCTTGTACAGAACATAAAGATCATACTCATGGCTATAATCAACACAGTTTCTGCTAAAGATGCATTTGCAACTGCTGAGGGAGAAGAAGGAAAGTAAAGATACAGTCATACCCGTAGGAAACAATATACAAAAGTCAAAGGTAGAACCTTTATTTATAAACATCCATGTTTTACTTTAATGGTCAAACAAGCTATATTCAACAAAAACTGATGTAAGTTTATTCATTTATTCTTATTTACAAATCTACCTTCCATTTTCTCCAAGAACTACTTTAAAGTAAATTATCTTCTTTCTGAATCTTTGATTATGGTTTGTTTAATCTACTAAGAAATTTTAACTTGAATCGGTGTACTAATGAAACATGAATCCTTGCTTTTAATGACCAGTAAATAGCTACCTCTTTGGCTTTTTAAGATCAAGAGTTACACTACCACAATGCTATAAAACAACAGGTTTTACTATTTTCCATGACCATTTTTATAATACAACTGGTTTCAAGACTACAAAATAGCATGTTTTACTTTTTTCATATTGTTTGGTTGTTCAGTAACGCAAGAGTTCAACGTAGCTCGAAAAAGAAATGATGACCAAAATCCCAAAATCAAGGTTCATCTGGTTAACAAAAATATAATAATAAAAAATATATCCATTTTATTCATTCTGTGACCTACAATAAGACATTTTTTTCTTTTATGAGTTGCTTTAAACAAAATCAACTTTTTTCTTTTTTGACATGCTTTAAATTAACAAACTTTCTAAATTTCTTCTTTTGTGAACTGTACTACTACCAACGAACTATCATTTTTTATTTGTTTTTTTTCTTTAGTGACATGTCGTAAATAGCAATGAACTTTATTATTCTTTTTCTTGGTGATTTGCATTAAACTGCAAAAAAAACTATCTTTTTTTGTGATTTGCTGTAGATAGCAACAAACTATTTTTTGCATTTTGTTTTGTGAGTTGCACTAAATGAAATAAATAGCAACATACTTTTATTTTTTTGTTTATTATAACATCTTATGTTCTTTTCTTCACCTTGCTTTTATTTGGACTGGTATTAGTTTTAATGTGGACTACCTTCTTTGGATTCCTTTTTCAGTTCACGAGTTGAGTATTTCTCCAAGGATGAATGCGAAGATGATTGACTGGTTCATATGATGATGATGTTGTATGTGTGTCATTGTGTATGTGTGTGTGGTTTGTGACTGTGTATGTGAAAGGTAAGGATGAGCCATTATAAATCTTGATTCTATAGATAAAGTTTTATTATTTTCTTTGGTTATTTGAATACATAATATCTTTGTTCAGTAAATGTGTATGTGCATTACCTTTTAGTCTTTAGTGGGTATTTATGTGTTAAGAAGTCATGGACATGGGCATTTGGGACTCTTTATAGGGATCATGAAAGTTATGAAACAACTTATTTTAGTGTTGATGGTTGCATCAGATAATAAATTTGTATTATTTTGGTCTAAGTTTGTATTTTGTGCAATCAGATTAGCATTTGCAGCCCCTAACAATATCTATTGGGCATCTGGTCTTCCAAAACGAAAATAGATGAGAGATTTTAGTGTGAAACCAGGACATGCAACTAAAGTTGATTTTTTCAGCTAAAAATGGGGCTTATCATAAAAGACGTGGAAATCAGATGAAAGATTTCTTGATTTCTTTTTGTATGTGAGTTTTTCGAGTTTGGTCTCTGCCATCCTAACTTTGGATTACCTTTTGTTATAATTGGGAGCTTTTTTTCAAGATATATTGTTGTAATAGGAAGAAATAAAAAATGCTATAATAAACATATCAATGAAAGTATATTTTCAATCCTCACATTTAAGGCTTTAGCCGTATTTCTTGATTGAAAATGTGTACGTGGTTTTTCCTTTTACATTGTTTAAGTGTTATTTTTTGTGCAATTGGTTTTGCAGATTCCGAGATACATTTTTTGAATGTTTTTTAATGATGTCTTTTGTTGTAGGGTTGAAATAGCAAGGGTGAGATGCGATTGTGGGTACCATGTTGTGTCAATGAACCTACAAAATATTTTGATGTTTTTGTTAGTTTTTGAGAATCAATTCATATTATCGATATGTTAATTAGTTTTTGAGATTTAGTTGTGATTGTAAATTGTCAGTTCTTTTCTTCTTTTAGTTTTGTTTATGGTTCTTGCTTTTGAAAATAGTGGCTTGTGTAAGTTCTCATTCTCCAGTACTCAATAAATGAATAGTACCAATCTCCACTTTCCAAATATGTTATATCCAAAACTAATCAATTCATAAAACGTTTAAGAAGCACATGGTATAATTCCAAAAGTCATCACTTAATTTGGTTTTAAAAAAGTCATTGTACCATACTTATTTTATATTTTTTAAATTCATGAAACAAGAGGATGAGCTGAAGGTACAACGCCTAAAGCCTACTCCCAAGTTTGAACCAACCTCTCCCATCTGTTTTCCCTATTAAGTTGCAAAGTTAAACTATAAGTAACCATACCACTCTTAATTTCGCTGAAGACATATATTTTTCTTCTGAATAAAAAACTTAACCCTTGTATGCCTTTTCTTTTATTTTGCATCACGAGTTTTTTGAACCCAAAATACCAAGAATACCCTTCACTAAGCTCTACCCATCAACCTCTATAATAATATAGCATCTTGGTACTTTTTATGAACATATACGTTCTTTTACCACACCTTTCCCTCAACGACAAAACACATGGAGAGAAGGAGAGGGTGTAATGTTAAACCACTTTAAACTATATTATATTATGTAAGGGAATACATATTTCCCTTGCTATGTTTCTTCTAGCATCATACTGTCATTTCTTCTTATCCGGTGGTTTTTTTAATATATTAATTGCCGTTCTACAGAAAAATTAAATTGTTTTAAAAATTGTCTTTTATTCAAAAGTGTGTGAATCTCGGTTTTCGGGTAAATCTACATTATTGTAACAATTAAAACATTCAAAATTGTTTTAAATCTTTCTTTTATACATTTTATATACATCTGGTAGTCATATCATTTTTGGATCATAATCTTATAACTAAAAAGATATTTAGGATCATTATGATGTAAAAATGATAACCTTTTTTTTCAGATTTATATATCAAAAAGATAAAGTTTCATGATTATTTTGTTTAATTAATAAATAACAAAATTTGTATTGTTTGTTTTCATGTGATCAACTTTACGTGACATTGTTCATAGATAGATAATGAACTTGATGAAACAAGTATTGAATCCCTGATGCTGAATAAAGTCCAAAAAGTAAAAAAAAAAAATCATAAAAGGTTACATATGGTTACAAAGTTGATTTATGTTTATACTATCACATTGCGTATATTCTGAAATACAATATGTTTCTGAAAGAAACTAACGGCTCAATGATAATTATCCAAACTCTTCATTTTTTATGTTACTTATTTTCATATTTGCTAGCATGACTCTTATTGTTAATTGTTTAAATGTAGTAAACTATTTGCGCAAAATAATTAATCGCCTCTACAAACTAATTTTTGAAAAAACTATTCTCACCCATCGCTTGGCGCGGGTAAACGGCTAGTATATATATATATATATATATATATATATATATATATATATATATATAGAGAAGAAGAATCATTTGAGAACTTATAGTTTCCCAAGAACCCGATAATTAAAAGTGGACCATCAGATTAAAAAAAATTAAGGGCTAAGATCTTTTATGGCACTTTTGTAAATAAATGGGAAAATTAAACAAGGGGGTATGATTCAGAAATTAATCTAAGGGCACTTATGGTACTGAAAAGATTATTCCCCCAAATCAATCGATGCCCTCTTTCTCTCAATCCACCGATCATCTTCGTATTATCATCCTTCTTTCTCTTATAGATTCATGTCGATCGTTGCCCAAGAACCAGCATCCAGCATCTGAAATCTATAGTTTCCTCCATTAACTGTCTCACTATTCATTGAATCGAGTCAGGTGAAGAATTTACACGACTCGTTGAAATCTAAGATCCTTTGAATCTGATTTCTAAGCCATAAAATTCCGCGATTTTTCCGTTAGGTCGTCTCATCGTCGACGAGCACATTGCAAGGTGAAATTTAGGCTACCAGACTATCGATTGGCTTCCTCCTCCCTTCATCGGCCACCTCTACCATTGTCGACTGCCACTCTACCCACAGATCCTCCTTGGATTAATTTCTGAACTTGTGCTTCGTGATTTGCACTTCAGTAGCTCTTTCCGCCTCTGTCTTAATTACCAATGTGGACTCAGTTTCCGCTTTCATTGTCGTTGTGCCTAGGAAGTTGCAGACGGATGACCTCGCCATTGTTCGTCTTTTCCGAAAGAATACTCCTTCTGTTTGTCTACATTACCAATTTAGCTTCCAGGTATTTAACTTTTTTGTTCCGATTTTGATGGATACTTGTTTTGTGTCCTTCATTGTGTTTGTTGGATTTGATGGATTTGATACACAGTGATAAAATTAGAGTTATTAAGCACAATTGTTTTTGTAGTATAGTATAACCGTAAATGATCCAATACTTTTGCACATATTTTTAAATTTTAATGCTCACTTCATAAACTGAGACATCTGAGTGGCTGCTAAATGAGCATAACAAATTGGTGCAACTGCATAAAACCAACCATTCATTATTACTACAAATGTCACTGCTGTTTACTCATTTACAACTTTAAAAATACTTCAACTTACCAACAGATATGGCAGTAGTGCTTCTCTGGTAACTGTAATAATAATAACAATTCAAAGTTACAAAAATAATAAAAATTAGATGATTTTCATAATATTAAATATTTATGGAAGGAATGGACTTACACATAGGAGAGGGTGTGGACAAGCTCCTGAAGATCATCAGCCGAGAACCCAATTTCATCGTACAGAACATGGTAATGAGTGGGCATGGTTGTCCCCTGTTCAAATATTTTATTTTATTTTATTTTATTGCAATCCCAATGATAAAACTATTGCTTTTTAAAGCAAAACCAAAACATGTAATGAGATGTGCATTACAGGAACTTCCATTGAAGTGCACAAAATTCAGAACATGTAAACAGCTTCTACAGATGGTGGACAGGTAGTACAACACACACACACACACAAGGTCAACCAAATAATGGTAAGTAAGAACATCATAATCATTTTAATGATACCCAACTCTTTGTACCAGCTTGTTGAAGAGAATAATAATAATAATAAAGAGGAGGAGCTCTCTGTGGTTGAGATGACACAATTAGAAGAAGAACTTGATGCTGCTCTTATGCAAACAAGATCAAGAAAGGTGATTCTTTTCATTTGCTGCTACTTGTTCAGTTTACCTATCTATTTTAGTTTTTGAATTAGTCACTGATTAGTAGGATCTTATTTATTATGAGATTGAGAAAAAGATAAAACTTTTTTGAAATCCGTATATTGACATTGACAGTGACTATGGTTGATGATCTTTGTAGACACTATTGATGATGGAGTACGTATCCACCCTACAACAATAGGTATATAAATATAAATATAAAAAGAAAAAATCATCCATTTGGAGTATTATTACACAAAGTATAAGATCCATAGGGCACTTACTGTATTCCTCTCACTCATATAATAGCAATTGATTGTCCCAATCGTGAAATCCAACCAGTGTCTTTATTGCTTGTTTATATGATGAGGCTAATTTATATGGTTAAGATCATACACTTACACAACCCCTTCAATTCTCTTGTTTTTGTATGTTTAATACCAATCATACCAAGTAAGAACCTGCATAAACAGAACATCTGTCTAATCTACATTTATCATTGTGATTGTGAGCAGGAAAAAGGATTTAATAAAAGAAAATGAAGAAATCGTACAACAGGTAAATCTATTATCCCTGGAAATTGAAAGAAGATTCATTTTTCAAAAAAAAATTATGTCTAACTTTACATTCAGAAACTTTGATAATATAAATAACATATAAGAATATTTCACTAACATATAAGATATTTTAGTTTTTGAATGTAAACTTCAAATCCAAATATTCTTATCTAAATGTCTTATCACCATAAATTTTTATTCCTAATTGATTCATAAATAATTCTTCAGTTAATCAATAAAGGAACTGTTATATTTCCAAGAAGGAACTCTTATATTTCCATGTTGTTTAGAGTATACAAACATTGTTGTAGGAAGGAAATCATATTTTAAAAGATAACAACTTCAATTGCAAAATACAGAACCAAATTCAACTGTTATATGCTTTTCATTTAGACTCATTACTAACCTCAAACAAAGGAATTCCATACATGGTTGCTTTAAAGCATAAGAACCTAGCATGTGCAGAATTGCTAAACCCTTCATCAGCAGAGCCTCTGGTGTGGCCTTCACCATTGTAATTCATTAGTGAGCTCTAATGGAATTCATTAATTCATTAGTGAGGAAAAAGAGGTCATTGAAGATGGACCCTTCAAAAGACTCCATTGACTTATCATCAGTCAACTCTACTGATGTGGTTTCTGATTCATCACATGCTGAAACTCTTTCATCTTTAGAAGAAACTTCTGTTACTTCTTCAGAGCATCCTGTTGTCCGATTCGTGAATCAAAATGGAACACGGAGTTGTAACATTTATGGGATTGCAGATGTAATTTCTCTCATTCTGTCCAAAAGAAGTTAATACCCTTTGTGTTGTGTATGTGTTAATAATCTTGTGTGGTTATTTTTAGGTACTACTAGCACTTGATAGGATTGAGAAAAATGAGGAGTTAACATATGAGGTAATTAATTAGTCTTTAATCTCTATTGGAGGGTAAATTTGTAAATAGTTCTTGACTGACCTTTTTTTTATCTACAACAATTACTCTCACTTGAAGCAAATTTGTTCTTTGGTGGGCTTAACTTGTATGATCAACATAGGGACATGAGACTGGATATTGATAACATGTCATACAAGGTTTATTTTATTTTCTAATCTATTAATGTTGCCAACATGATTAATATCCATGTCTGCCTTAATGATGTCCGGTTGACCGGACAAAACCCACTAAACCAAATATCATTCCATGGTCGAATCTGGAACATGATTGATGTACCTTGTTTTAGTAGGTCCTGAGGAAAGTCAATGGTTGTACGCATCTGGTCCTTGCACTCTGAGGCAATTGTCATTTTTTACCCATATAGTTTCAATATAAATTTTATCATGTTTCTTGTTATTTATATATTTAATCCAATTTGTTAGTCAATTGTTGGTTTGGTTGAAAATTATGCAGGATTCTAAAGCACTATACAAGTTATTTTTGTTAGATGAGAGTAGCAGTGGACGACTTTCTACTAAAAGTCAACTTATGGTGAGTCATGTTGTATTCTCTTGGATTCTAATATCTTATTTAAAATTGGTTTATAACTTTGAAAGTAGATTTGAATCTTTGATCTCTATTTTCTTTCTTAATACAACTCATGGGCAGTTTTCTTTTTTACTTAATGGGCTTAATGAGTTCAACACTTAAATCTGGACAACTATGGTTATTTCTTTTTTACTTAGCTAAATTTATATAAAGTTCAACGTTGTAATTACATGTGATTCACATGTAAATCACATATGAATTACATGTGATTCACATGTAAAACATATGTAATTCACATATGAATTACATGTGATTCACATGTAATTCACATATGAATTACATTCGATTCACATGTAAATCACATATAATTCATATATGAATTACATGTGATTCATATGTAAATCACATATGAATTACATGTGATTCATATGTAATTCACATATAAATTACATTCGATTCACATGTAAATCATATATAATTCACATATGAATTACATGCGATTCACATGTAAATCACATATAAATTACATGTGATTCATATCTAAATCACATATGAATTACATGTGATTCACATGTAATTCACATATAAATTACATGTGATTCACATGTAAATCACATGTGATTCACATGTAAATCATATGTGAGTCACATGTGAATCACATTTGATTCACATGTAATTCACATGTGATTCACATATAAATCACATGTGATTTACAAATGATGTCATATGTAAATGTGATTCATATGTGAATTGCATGTGATTCATATGTTAATCACATGAAATCACATATGTATTTTTGTGAGTGCTTTCGCATCAATAATTTTTTTTTTAATTTTCTTGTAGATTTGGAAGAAATTGTGGTGAATATTGAAGAGGTGAAAAATGATAAATTGAAGAAAATAAGGAAATATTGACACGAAGACATGAAAACACTTTGAAATTTGTAGCATTTTTTATTTTTTATATTTTATTTTGTATTGAATAAAATACTTGTACTATTATGTTTATAGATTAATTAATAAATATGAGATTTGTTGTGATTTACTTACAAATATTATAGTATAAGAAATGTACATATATGCATTTGAAAAAATATGCACATATGCACCTAAAAATTTACTTTAAAAAAATAATGCAGTTTTTTTAAAAAAAAATTGCAGTTTTTTTTTAAATACAGTTTTTTCTGAAAAAATGTAATTTTCTTTATAAAAAACTTACAGTTTTTTTAAAAAAATGCAGTTTTTTTTGAAAAAATGTTGTTTTCTTTAAAAAAAAGTATAGTTTTTTTGAATTTGCAGTTTTTTAAAAAAAATATTTTTTCAATTTTTTTTCAAAAATTCATGTTTCTATTAAAAAATAAAAAGTCTGCATTTAAAAAAAACGAAAAATACTATTTTTAAAAAAATATGAAAATTTGATTTATGATGTAAATTTTTAGACATTTATATTAATATGTTAAATAACACAAAAAAAATTAAACATTAAATGAGATTGATAAGATAACGATCATGTCCTTAATGAATTACTTTTGATCAAACGCTCCACTTTTAGTTCTCGGGTTCTCGGGAAACTATGAGTTCTCAACCGATCTCAACCGTATATAATAGATATATATATATATAATAATAATATATATATATATATAGGTCTCGGGAAAGTATGTGTTTTCAACCGATCTCAACCCTATATGTATATAATAATAATATATATAGATATATATATATATAATATATATATTCTATATATAATATATATCTCCGGTCTCCATTATCAAATTCATATAAATAAACCCTTTTATTCTCCGGTCTCCATTATCAAATTCATAAGGTTCGTAGGACGACACATCACCTACCTACTAAAACGACGCCATGGACATCAAACTGGACTCCACCGCGTCTTGTTTCATATGGCAGGAAACACAACATACACGGCGTTTTCAAGGAGAAAGGTACGACGCTTCCTTTATGGCTTCGTTTTCCATTTAGTAGATACATTTTCTTGTATGATCATACTTATACCGTCACACCTGTTGCCGTTTCCTACCCCAATATATAACCACCGCTCCTTATCATATATTTTATTCTCACACGTCTCTCGCGGACGCTAACCCTCCATCAGGTGTATTACTTTTCTAAAAGCCTCCGTTCATCTTCATCTTATTTTTGAAATTAGGATTTTCTTTATCTTCCATCTTCTGGTGCTGGTTGGTACGATGACAATGAGCAAGGTGGTAGTGTTCGTTCTATCGTATTATATATCCATCAAAATCATTTTTTTGTTTTTCAATTTAATAAAAGGGTTATGAGATCTTAAAATTGGCCTCATCTAAAGACAAATGCAAAGGAAAGCCTACAAAAGCTCTAACTGCAGCAAATAGGGAGTTGGGGGCAAACTAAATATCACCTTTTTGCTAAAAGTTTAAGTGGGTGCTATGGGAATTACAAATACAGGAATAGTAATGACCTTTTCCCTTTATGATATGGTGATATGGTTCATCTATATTGTAAGTTACTGCAGCCCCTATCGATGTTCTTCACATTTTTGATTCTCATCGATGAGATTATGGTAATTAATTTAATTTACCCTTCAGTGCATACCCTTCCTCAAATTGGGGTTAGTGTTCGCAGGGTTACCGGACCAACAATGGATTCTTATAAAAACTATATTTCTTCAATTTATTTTAGAGAGAGTCTTAAAATGGAAAATACCGGATGAGAAAACCAAGGAAAAGGCATGAAAGAACGTTATTTTTTCAAAACGACGATTATAAGCCAAATTGGTTTTGGCGGCAACATACTACGCCAGAATTGATAGATTTTCCTGGATATTCTTGAACAAAGGTTAGACATTATTTATCTTTAATTTCCCATGCTATGCTTTCCCTGTATGTTTATCGTTATATGTTTTTATTTTGATTTAAAATTATTAAGGAGTCCAAACACTGCCACTCTTAACTATTTATCAGGATATTGGTGATGTAGGGTTATTTATATGATATAAATTAGAGCATCATGCAAAAACATTTATGCAAGAGACATTTGTTTCTTGTTTTTAACGGGATAGAGTAAAAACTGATGAGGGAAATTACTTTCCTGTAATTGCATACTATCCCTGAGGAAGGTTTCTTGATTGATAATTGCTACTTATATATCTATGTGTTTGTAATTTTATTTATTGGTATTTTGGTTCCACTTTTTATTGTTTCAAAATCTATCGGATTTGGGAAATTGTATTTGAAAACATTCATCCACCTACCCCTCTTCTCTTTATTCATCACATATAATCTATCTACATGCATTCCAACTGTTTGTGAAAATACCAATATTAGTATTGTTAGTAATACATTTTTTTGGTGTTTTTTAGGTTGCAGGATTACATCGAGACATTTGGTGGTCCTTACACAATGCTAGGGATCAACAATTGGCATTTGGAGGCCACATAATTTGCATGTTTTATCTTTTTATGTTAGGGATTAATGATCATCTTGGATTGTTTAACAAAGGTTAGACATTACTTACATTTGATTTCTGTAAGGGTCGAATTGTTGTAATTAGTCGAAGTATGTTTTGGACTCTTCGAATGTTTTGTAATGTATTTTACTAGGGCGCTTTTATTCGAAGCTTTAGAGTTAATGCCTTAGTATTTTTTTGTATGCTTTCAGTTCCCTATAAATAGGGTTATTTACTAGAGTTAGATAAGAACTTTTACAGACTTGTCTACTGTACTCTGTAAAGAATTCGAAAGCATAATAGAGCATAACAAGATCATATTTACATCCTGTATTCAAATCTCGTATTCTTACTTGAATTCATACTCTGATTAATTCATTACTCGATTCATTGGTTCATCAATTGGTATCAGAGCAAGAATCATATCTCTGATCTGATTTTCACGCTGTTAAAAAGGTTTTTGAATCAACTTTTTGATTCAAAAGTTACAGCACTTTTTGAAAGTGAAAAATTGTCTAGATCTTAGTCTGTGATTCGATTCTGCATTTGAATTGTTGAATCGAGTGTTATTCTCATCAATACGATTTGATTCATCTAGTTTGTTTTCAAATTCTCAAATCTTTTCAAACTTCTCAAAAATCTTCCGTACAACAATGGCGAGTTTCAATCTCAATTCGATGACCTCGTTTTCTCATCTGTTAGGTTCATCAACCAAAATTCCAATGCTAATCCCTGAATACTTTGATCAGTGGGCTGATCGTATGCAGGATTATCTGAATGGTCTGGATGAAGAATTATGGTCATGTATCACTGGAAATGTCAATGTTCCAGTGAATGTTCAACCAATTGGATCATCTTCTACAAACTCTGGAGTTGATAATCAATCTGATCGTCTAAAGAAACTGGAGAAGAAAGTGTATGAGGGAACTGCGAGGTGCTTTACCTCCAGTTGTGTACAATTACGTTAGAAGTTGTACAACTGCAAGGAGGTATGGAACAATCTGAAAGATAAGTTTCAAGGAAGTGAGAAACCAAAATCAATTCAGTCAAACAGTGTTGGTTGAACTGAAAGATTTCAAACAAAAAAAGTGAGAAACAATTGAAGTTTACTATGATCGTCTTAACGAGTTAATCTATCGTTGCAATCGCTATGGAATTACCAGGACATCAATGGAATTCAATCTCATCTTTGTAATGGGGCTTCGAAAAGAGTGGAGAAGTGTGAGTATGATGGTGAAGAATCAACAAAGTTTTGATACATCAACTCTCAATGATTTGTACAATCAGTTGAAAACACACGAAATTGAGGTAAATGAAATTGCTGAGGAATCGAAGTTGAATTTGGGAGGTCCATTAGCTCTTGTGTCAAAGATTTCTGAGAAAGAAGCTGAAAATGGTGATTCTGAGGAAGAAGAAGGATTCATCATGAATTCGGATGATAAAGCAATAGCATTTTACTCGAATAATCGTGTTAAGAAATTTTTCAAAACCGTTCAATTCGAAGACTAAGCTTGTGTGAGGTGAAAGGAAGTTCTGTGAGTAAAAATGTTGTTGAGGAGAAAAAGAAAGTTGAGAAGCAAGATTCGAAGATAGCTGATGAAAAGGGTGAGAAGAAGCTGAAAGGTGATGCTGGAATAGATTGTCATTATTGCAACGGTACGAATCATCTTGCAAATGACTGTATGCTTCGAAAGAAGGATGAGAGGAAGAATAGTCAAGGATGAGGCGTATTATGCAGAGAAGCTGGAAGAGGTTCGTACGAAAGCTAAAAGTTTGTCATTGGTTGCAAAGGGGTGAGCATGAGGATGAAGATGGAACTTATCAAATCTGGTCATCCGGGTCAGACGATGAAGAAAATGAGGAATCCAACGCATGGAGCGATGTATGCGAAATGGAGGAGGATTCAGATGATGAAGAATTCGAAGTGAAAGGACGATGCTTCGTATCTAAAACGACAGACAAATCTCCAATGACAACAAAGGTACGTAAAATTCTCGAATCCTTTAATATTCCTACACATGCTTATGACTCTGAACTAATTTCTTTTGATGAGACGGTTACTTATTTTGATTCAATTGTTGTGTCTGCTAGCAATGAGGCCAACAAGTTGTCAATGGAGTTGTTAGAGGTCAAAAAGAGATTAGACTTGAAAATAAGAAAAATTGAATGTTTGGAATTACAAATGACAAATATTATGTGTGATAGGGATACGTTATCGAGTGATGTTAAATTTTTGCTAGCACAAAGAAACATTTACTGTAATTCTGCGAAAAGACTTTATGGCAAATTAACTGATTTACATCATTCAAGTGACATAAGTAAAGAGCAAAATAGAAAATTACTACCTTTTCTAGCATTCGAAAGAGCTAAGGTAGATAATATTTCGTATGATTGTGAGCAAATAATAGCTGATTTTGACAAAGTTCCAGATGATAGATATAAATATGGAATTGTCAAAATTGATCTTGATGCTAAAGAATTAGTTAACACCGTGAATGATACTTTGACTAAATCTGAACAAATTCAAATTTTGAAAAAGACTGAGAATTCAACATCTGATTCTCAATCT